CCTGGTGGAGCTTCATGATCAAAATGAGCAAGAGAAGAAAATGCTGCAGACTCCTGCACAATCCTCCTCAACTCCATTCCAAATGTGTTCCCCAACCCACATGGGTCTATGACTACTCCTATCCTGGCCTACAAGAGGAATATTCACACCTTAGAGCTGAACACTTAATACATATGGGACAAAATATGATAACAAAAATATGATGAGAAGTGAATGATTTTCAAGGAAAGATTTGATATGACAAAGCCATTTTTTTAAAAGCCTTTTAATTCATACTCCTATCATTGAACAAGAGTAAACTAACTCTTAAACAAAGAACTAGAAATGGGGGCCTCAATGGTGGCACAGGGGTTACAGTCTCAGTGCTATCAAGCTATGGCCAGCCAAAACAGCAAGAGTTCAATACCCAGTTAGGGAGGCGACCCACACGATGCAGCAGACCTCTCCTATCTCATCTGCTGCTCCGCTCAGCAGTGTATTTCAGTAGATTCACCTGTTCTTCTCCCCACTCTGTCTCTGGTGAATGTTTCACTCCTTCCCCCTCTCCCCCACACACACCTCTGGTCTACACTCCAGTTCTTATGTGCACAAATAAATCTTTCAAAAAAAAAAAAAAAAAGAACTAGAAACTAGAAGAGGATCTCCAACTAATCCCTCTGTAAGTCCCAAACTCCTGACCCAGAAAGTCATTGCCAAATGGCTGATATCAGTTCAGGTTCACAGTGTTTCTAAAAGTATGAGGGGAGAGAGAATCCACATTTTATCAAAATTGTGCACAGTGAAGCGGGAACTCATAAAATACTTGAATAATAACCCATTTGCTTTTAATTCTTCTGTAATTTCTGTGAAAACTTCTATACCATGACCTCATTTTGCAGACATGAGTATCACAGAAACTTCTCTAGGATGCCCACTGTAATCCATCATTAATTGGAGCTGTGTTCAAATATTACACAGTCCCTGCTCTGCCTCTAAGAGCAGGAGTGAATTACCAAAGATGAGACGGTGCCGGTGTGTGCCCCTGTGTGTGTGCCCTGATTTTTATTCAGTTTAATAAAATCCAGCCTCATGTCAAAGAGATAGCAAGTTTCATTCTGGACTACTATGGGGAGATTACAGGATGCAGAAACCATACAAGATTGCGCAATTCTGTGCACCTTTTAAAAACCCACAACACAGGGCCCTCCCTGGTGGCGCAATGGATAAAGCACAGCACTATGAAACCATTGCAGCCATTGCAGCATGAGATCGATAACTGGCCAGAGAGGTGACTCACATGGCACAGCAGACCTCTCCTCACCCACCTGCTACTTCCCTCAGCAGTGTATTTCAGTCAATCTGCCTGTTCTGTTCCCTACTCTGGTGAGTCTTCTTACCTCATTGCACCTGTATCCCCAGTTCTGTATGTATAAATAAATAAATCTTTAAAAAACACACAACACAGAAGTTGGTGTGAGTTCCATCATCCCAGAAGGATTGTCCAGATGAAGTTTACTGACCCACCTCCCCAGCCACCACTACCAACAACCCATTTCCTAAAGTTCTGGGCTTTGGGTCTATGGATTTAAATATTAAAATGTGATTTATATCTTCTCCCATGTTTTCTGCCTATAGAAAAGATGGATTTAGGAAAAGGATAAACCTCATCCTTCCTGAAATAATGGGCTCTAAGATTAGATACAATCTAACTCTAATCTACTCTTCAGGACAATTTTAAAACAGAAAACAAGACACACATACTGCTGAACTCTTTTTCACATACACAAAATCTGAGGATATTTTGGTCCTATTTGACATTTAGACAGCTCAGGACTACAGGGTCTTCTTAGTGGGGGGAAAAAAATATCTTAAAAATCTCTAAGGTCTCTGGAAAACAAATTATAACTGACAGTTCTCTTACCTCTCATTTTGTGGTGCAAATTTATTTCTAAGATTCCTTTCCCCTTGTTCAGGTGGTGCCCTCTAATGATAGAAATAGCTACTCAATTTAAAGCAACTCTATCTGTGAAGCTACTAGGCTTCCTACAAAAGAGGATGAGACAGATTGATCTGCAAATAATATAATAGCAGAAATAAAAAATAATTTCAGGAATGAATTTAGTGCAGTGTCCAAGGGAGCAGTAGTGTAGTCCTTAATGGCATGGAAAGCTGCAAACCCCAGCTCTATTCTGGAACCTTTCTACTATGAGTGTAATGAGGGTGATGGTGGAACACGGGTACTTAAGGAACAAGTGAGATGAGTATGTTGGCTCAGCGAGCACTGAAGCAAGTGAGCACTTACTACATGGTAGCTAATATTAGCATTGAAACATGGTAAGGTCATTCCATTCCGTTAAGCAGGCATTAAGTACATAGCACCATGTACCTAATCCAGGCTTCTCTATCATATGATAATTCTCTCATGTCACTTTTTTTAAAAGCTATTCTTTATATCCAAATCTCCCCTGCTGCAAAGCATATAAAACTCTTTACATAAAGGATCTCTTATTAAAAGTACAACAACAATTATTTGGATAGCACAGAAAGAATATTTCAATCTAAAAGTTATGTCAATCTAAAAATTATGTCATTATGGGGGACTAGCAACAATGAGAATGCTTGAATGTTGTTAAATATGTCATTCTTTTGCATTTTAAAATTCATTAAGCTAATGTTTTCACAAATATTTTCTAATAGTAACTATCATTCTCCCTAGTGAAAGGTAATTATTGTTAGCTTAATATCACAGGTGCTAAATATTAGAACAAAAAGTCTTCATAGTCTCACTCTTTCCTTGGTATTCCAAAGGGAAAGAAAAAAAAAATCAGACATCTATCCACAGAGTGAAACAGACAACGAAGCAATTATTCAAGAGATGAATTAATTCAAATAAGCCTCCTTTATCCTCTTCTTTTCCTTCTACCCGCCCAATTAGTTTTTAAAAAATCAAAATAATTTCTTCCTTCAAAATATAAAGCATGTGTGGGTTGTGGGGGTGGAAGAGAGAGGTTTCAGAAGTAAATAACACTGGGGACTTTCCTCTAAATTACATAAATGATTCTCTTAATTGATCATTTGTTCCCCTACTTCTGTACTCAGAGCGTTAACCCCATGCACACACAGACACATGCACACACGCAAAGTGAACAGAGGTATGGAATATAAACATCAACTTCACTACAATGATAAGTATTCTTTCATGTCTATTGTCCTAAGGTAACTCAGTATGCTTCAGGGAAAGAAGGGTTGGATAAATGATACAGTAGAAAACTAGCTAAGAATTCCACAAAGATCAGTCCCTGGAATTTTCAGCTAATCTGCACCAATGAAGCAGAAGCTTTTTCTAGACCATATATTTTGTGTCTATGGCATGGAAAGTTCCCATCTCCCATGATCATAAGCATCACAGCAGCTGCTGCCACCCCTCCACCAGCAGCCCCCAGCTGCCACCTCCATCCTGACAACTCCTTTAACTGCCACCAGCAAATGCCACCACCTCACCACGCTACATCACGTATGTCCCCCTACCTATTCTTTTTTTCCTCAATAACACAGCAATAATCACTCATATTGTCCATCTGCAGTCCTGACTTTCCTAGCCCTGGCCCCAGAATGTTGCTGTACCTCCTTTCCCTGGTTTACCTGATTTATCAATCAGTATCTATCCCTAATGTCAACATAACAGCTTTTTGTCTCATCAGAAGATAAACTGCAAAAATTTCTAAGTAGGGAAGGGCCATTTCTTATGAACAGATTTAACATTGTGAAAGCAGTTGACTTTACTGGTAGAAAAAAAAGTTTTAAAAGTCTTTAAGAATAGCAAGAATATCACAGAGGTGGTGATCTATAGAATAAACACTACTTTCGTAGTGTTGGAACTCTGGAAGTTTACACACCACTTATCACCAAGTTGCAGGAACTCCATCATAAACTAGGCTGAAAACATAGCTTGGGTTTCTTTTTTCCTTTTCTGGTTTTACCCCTAGAAAATTCAGTCTACCCATTCTGGCTTCCAAACCCACAGAATCTAACTCGTTGGTAAGTTTCTCTTATGCATTCCAGGTTTCCAATGAAAGCCATATCCCCAACTCTAGTTTTCATTCTCTGTCCCTTAAGCCGATCTTAATAAAAAGCCTGTCTTCCTTAAGTTTGTCCTGAGATGTGGCCAGAGAAAGCAAAGCCAGCTCTAAGCAAGGCCACCTTGAGAAAGGGGGCACCATTGCATCACTGGCCTCTCTGCTATTTAAAAAGCTGCTTGCGTTTTTATTACAACTTTGATGATTTAAAGATGAGTAATCTGATTACTTATATTACAATTTTCCAGCAGACGGCAAGGTGTCTTAAACTAAAAATAAGTATAATTCAACAGTTTGTCATCAAAAGGAAATACAATGTCTTTGAAAGGTTAGCTTTGTCAAATTTGCACAAAATGCCATATGGGCTTGTAGCAGAGCACTCAGAAAATTTTCTCTCAAATATTTGAAACTTTCTGTAGTCTTGGTTTTCCACAAAAGCTTTTGCTTTGGTTTGGTAAAATGCACTGCGTTAACCTTTTCCCTCCCAATCTAATATTTTTCTCTCAATGACTTTAATCATCAAGCACATCCTCTTCTCAAAACAAGCACCTAACTACTACTTCATTCTCTTGCCTTATTTCTATCACTTGATATTAGTAGACATGTTAATAATCACCTTATAGCCTTTCTTCATGGGACAAGATTAATTACCACTAGGAAAGAGATGCCCATTACAGATTTACTCCACAAAATTAAAAATCATTCACAAAACATGTTGCTTAAACTTCAATTTCAGTCAATATCTGAATTTATCCCTTGAAAAAATTAAAAAGTAAAATTAAATTAAGTTCTATATGTGAATTTACTTTCATTTACTTAATTTAAAATTACCATCAGATATTTACTTTGAATACCAGCAAATGTGAAGCAACATTTAAGAGACAATTATAGATAGACCCAACTTGAATCAAATAATGAATTGAGGAAAAATCCACATAAGCTCACCTTGACCTCCAGAAAACATGTTTTACTGCCATTGGTAACAATTTGTCCTAGTTAACAATCCAGATGTGGAAATCTTAAAAAGAAAGAAAGACGACTTAGAAGATTGGAGAAAGATTCAGGAAAACATGAACAAAGACTTCATGTTTCAACAGCACTTCTTCACACTGAAAAATAAAGTTAGTTCAGGAGTTCTTAAATCTTTATAGTGATAGTATCATGAATAAATTCTTCATAATTTGAGTTGTTTCAAAAACTCACCATTTTTCTATTGGCTGTGCCTAGGATTTTAGACATGTTTAATCTTAATTTCAGATTGATCCTCAACAGAGTACATGACTAATTTTCTTTCTATCTTAATCCGTTAAGTAGTTAATGATCTGAAAACTAATTCTTAAATATAGCAATAAATGAAACTTAACAGTTTTTGCTAGAGAAAGAATATCTCTGATATATGAATAATCACGTCCATTTTGTAGATTTTTATTTTCTTATATTGCACCAAAATTATATAATTATGTTTCTTATTTTGTTCTGGTTCAAAAGAAGTAAAAATCCATGGGCGCTATGAATCCCACAATATTAGCAATATTAGTCAAATCCTTAATAAAACTATTTTTTAAATAGCAAAAATTACTTTTCTCTGTAAATTGGTCAGTAAGATTAGTAGCTACTGCAGCGATACCACAAAATGCCTACTATTATTAAGTCGAATCATATAAAGTTGCTGATATCCAAACATTTTTTACATGTAGAAATGACTATCATTTTTTCAAACAAGAAAATAGACAGGATTGGAAAACCCAGTAGACTATGAAGCAAATTAAATCTTCAAAACCATCTATTGCTCAGTATGCATCATTTTTCTAAGTAACATCAATGGTCTGGGCCTTAACAATTCTTGTTACAAGCCAATATATCCTCATGGTACTTGAAAGACAATGAGTGAATGTTCTTCAGTATTTGGAAGAGCTCTTCAGTTTCTTCCACCCAGTCACTATTTACTGCCAACTACCTCTCAGCTTCCTCCCTGCAACATTAAAAGTCTTTTCAAAGAGCTAATGTGGCAGGGAGAAAAGCTAAAGACTGGAAGGCAAAAAGGTGAGAATAAGAATACAGATCTTGGATTCTCCCTGGTGACTTAGGGGTTATCACCACTAAAGCCTGAGTCTGATCTGCAGCCAGGGAGCTGACTCTCATGGCGCAGCAAAATCTCCTGTTTGTCCTGCTGCTCCCCTCAGCAGTGTATTTCAATAAACTCACCCAAACTGCTCCCCACTCTGTCTCTGGTGAATCCTCACAACCCCTATCTATGGCATACACCCCAGTTCTTCTACTCAAAAACAAATATTTTTAATTAGAAAAAATGCAGTTGTCTGAGAAGGAAAGCACAGAAAAGTGAGAGAGAAACAAGTTGCCAGGCATGAAAAAGTGAAGGAATAAGGTACACAGGGAAGAGAGTAGATGGGGCTGCCCAATAATCCAATACTCAGAGTGAGAGTATCTCACCACACTAAGAAAATTAAATAGGTCTAAGTTCAGATGAAATGTAGGGACTATTTACTTCTAATAATAAATTCAGTAACGCATCTGTTTTAGGACCTACCACAACCATCACTTCCACTACTATGCACCCCACCACTGATACAATAAACACCACCACAACCACCCCACTACTATCCCTGTGAGCTATGGCATAAGCTACACTACTGGAACTAAAAATCAATACATCAGAGGCCATGCAAGTACCCTAGCTACAAAAGGGATAACTATTTCATTGAGCAATCTATCAGTAATTCTTTTTTTTTTTTTTTTGCATGAACAAGCAGCCAGATGCAAAATACTCTCTGATCTCTTTTTAGTATTATTCATCTATTTTTGTCTCTTATTTTTTAAATTAATCATCAGAAGATAAAACAAAGGGTCACTACCAGCATTTGACTGCAGAGTGGTAGCAAAGGCCAGGTTGATGTGCCAGGTGAAATCTGTTGTTTTGTTCCTACACAATATGAATTTTAAAACAACTTAAGATTATGACAGGCAATGCAAGGCAAGAATCCAACATTGGCAGGCACACTCCAGTAGTGACTTCTTCTTAAATCAGGTATTATGACCTGGTAGGGACACTATAATTTTTTTTTAATGCATTAAACAGCATAATGATAGCAACAGTTGAATGATAGCAGTAATAGTGACAGCAAAAAGAATCCATTTTTATTAGACCTATGACCAGAGTTGCTGTAACTATAACAGCCCTGAATTAACAAACCAGTTGGAATTGTACTTTCCATTGTGAGAGTTAGGAAGTATGCTGCTAAAGCCATAAAATAAGGGGTGAACAAAGTAGAGTGCTGACTAAGGTATTTGAGAATTATAATACATGTATGGGAGTTCCCAGGTACCAATTTAATGAGTCTACTCCACAAAGAGCCCAAGGGCAACTAAGAACCAGCTGGTCAACATCACACAGAGAAGCCCTAGGTGGCTGGTCACTGGGATCAAAGAGTCTGCAGAGCATGGATCAGGTAACAGATTGTGGAAGCTAACAGATGAGGCAGGAAAAAATGGAGTTACTTTTGCCCCAGGGTCCTCTACAAAGGGCATAAGAAGCAAACTCTGTGCAAACAAGTATGCAAGCCTGAAACAGACAGCAGTAATCACTGAGGGGATTTACTAAACTTAGGGGTTCCTGGGACCAACTAAGACTTATTCTTGAGTTGCAAGGTTTATATTTTCAAAAGCTTTCTCTGGGTAATGCTACAGGGCAGCAAGCCACAGAACCAATTCGAAAGCAGCACGTGGAAATTACCTGAGAAACGATCTCTCCATTCACAAGGCTGAGCCAGACAATCAGCCATGATACATATGTGAGCTCACTTAAACTTCACTGCAACTTGCTGAGGAGATTTCAATAGCCCAGGTTTGTAGGAGGTTGAGGGCATCTCTAAAAGCTCAACTGCCTAACCAAGGATGCTAAAGTAAAAACCAATAAATAGGATATTACCTCGAAATTCCTCAGATGTGAATAGGGACAAAGCAAAAAAAAAAAAAAAAGTAAAATACAATACAATCTTTAAAAAAATACTTTGCCCAATTTTTAATTGGGTTATTTGTTTTTATATTATTGAGTTGCAACCGTTCTTAATATATTTTGGGATACAAGTATCTTATTAGATATATAATTTGCAAAAATTTGCTTCCATTCTATAATCTTCCTCATTCTTGATGATATTTTCTAAAGCATAAAAGTCTGGTTATTTTTTTAAAGAAAGCAAATTTATTAGTTTACCATTCTGAGGTGGCAAGTATAAAATATGTCCTCAGACATGTGTTCTTTCCAGAAGCTCTACAGGAAAATCCATCTCTGCCTTTTCCAACTTACATAAGTTGCCCACATGCCTTCACTTGTAACCCCTTTCCAATCATCTTCAAAGTCAGCAGTACAGTGTCTTCAAATCTGACATGATTCCATCCTCACAAGATCCTTTGTGACTCTGACCTTCCTGTTCCCTTTAAGAGGTGATAATTTCTATGAAGATAATTTTTTCTCTTGTCACTTGGGTGTTTAGTATTATACCAAGAAACCATCCAAGATCATGAAGATATAGGCCTATGTTTGCAAATTTAAAGACCTGTTGGGCAGGTCTCCTAGTGGCAAATCATTTGTTTTGTTTTCCTGAGATATTCTGATTTTGTTCTATTTTGCAGGAGAGTTTTGCTGGATACAGAATTCTTGACTGGAAGGTCTTTCAGCATTTTGAATAAGTTACCTACTACCTTCAGGCCCCCATGATTTCTCACGAGAAGTGAGTTGTAAATCTAATTGTAAATCCCTCTATGTAGTGATTCATTTCTCTCCCACTGTTCTTTGTTTTGGCAATTTCGTGGCTGGTATGTGTCTGGCAGCAGATCTCTGTGTTTCTCCTACTTGATATACAATGAACTTCTTGGAGATGCAAGCAAATATTTTAAATGATATTTGGCAATTTTTTGGCCATTGTTTCTTCAAGAACTCTTTCTGTCCCTATCTCTCTTCTTTTTCTTGAATTTCCATTAGATATAGATACAGATATAGGTATTCCCAATTAATGGCTTGAGGTTCTTTTCATTCTTCTTTATTCTTTTGAGTTTCTGGGCTTCAAATAACATAATTAGAAGGACTAATTCTTCCTTCTGCCAATTCATATCTGCTCTGCAGTTCCTCTAGAGATTTTTAAATTTCAATTGTACATTTTAACTTGAGAATTCCAATTTTGTTCTTTTTTATAATTTCTACCTATCTATTGACAATATTTAGTGAGATATTCTCATCAAAGGCATTGTCATACTTTCCTTTAATTGTTTAGATACAATTTCCCTTCACTTTTGAACACAGTTATAATTTTTGATTTTAACTTTTTGTCTAATAATCCCAATTATTCTAGACATTTCAGGGAAACTTTTCCCCCTGTGTGGGGTCATACTTTCCTGTTTGTATGTATCATAACTGTTTGATGAATACTGAATCTTAAGTCATGTAATACGGTAACTCCATAAATCAGATTCCACCATTCCCCCAAAGATCTATTATTGTTGCTATTTGTTGTTTATGTTGTTCCTGATGCTAATTATCCATTTCCTGGGCTAATTATTTAAAGTCATTTTATTTATAATGTTTAGCCTCTAAGTCTCTGCTCAATTTACTTTAGACACAAGATAAAGATGGAAAACAGATTTCCTTAAATATTTCAGGCCAGTATGTTTCACAGCTGTTGCTGGGGGGCTCTACATGGGTATTAATGTATATTTATCCATAACAAGTTTATGCTTCTACCTTATCCTTTTCTTTCTTCTTACATAATAGCTCTTTGGGTACCCCAAAGTCTTTCATGGGCATAGGCAGATTTACTTATGTACATATTCAATTTTTCAATAAATATGTTAAAAATTTGCAAAATTATCTATGTAAATCACCTTTACCAATTATTCTTTTTAAGATTTCTAAGGCTTCTTTTTAACCCCAACTGGAACAGTGACCTAAGACAAATGTGATAATAAATACTTGTCACTTGG